TCATTTTAATTTTATTTGTTATTTGTATTGTTATCAGTACATCTTTGCAGTATATGATGTTTACATTCCCTGTGTGCAGTGGGTACATGTGCCTGGCACATCTTCATTCCTTTTTTCATCCTCTTTCCTTCCCTCCCCTCCCTCCCCTCCATTTCTTGATCCCCTTCCCATTTGAGAAAGCTCTGTCTCCCTACTTCCTATTATCTTTTAGTTTGCTCTTTATTTATAATCTAGGTTTCTCACATAAGAGAAACTATGTGATATTTAAGCTTGTGTGTCTGAATTATTTCACTTAACATTATGGTCTCAAGGTGCATCCATTTTCCTATAGATGACTCAAGTTCATCTTTCTTTATGGCACAGTGTGTTCCATTGTGTGTAAATGCCACATTTTCTTTATCCATTCCCATTTTATTTTTATTTATTTTTTAATTTTTGGTACCGAGGATCGAACTTGGGACCTTGTGCTTGCGAGGCAGGCGGCAGAACCACTGAGCTAAATCCCCGGCCCTCCATTCACATTTTATTTGCATAAATATATATAATATATACATATATATACATATACATATAATATCTGGAAGAAAAATATTTCAACATATTTACCTAGGACTTTTTCCTGTCTCTTTGTTTTATCTGCACTTTCTTATTTTTCTACAGATAAGTTTATAACAACAATATAAATAACTACCATTTATTTATTTATTTATTTTGGTACCAGGGATCGAACTCAGGTCCTTGTGCTTGCGAGGCAGGTGATGGAACCACTGGGCTAAATCCCCGGCCCAAATAACTACCATTTATTAAGACTTACATTATACCAAACACTATATCAAGGGCTTTATATGTTTCCTTAGCAAATCCTTCCAACAATTCGAGGTGGGAGCAGGTATTATAGATTGAGTATCTTTCTCTGAAAAGCCAAAATCGGAAATGCTCCAAGATCAGAAGCTTTTTGAACATTGACATGGAACTCAAAAAGTTTTGGATTTCAAAAGTAAAGTTGATTAAATGGTAAATTACATGAAAATATCCCAAAATCTGAAATCTTTAAAACTTCTTGGTCCCAAGCATTTTGGATAAAGGATACTCAACCTTTATTGTTTTTGCAGGCATGAGAGTTTTAGTTGAAAGTAACAGAATACTCAACTCAAATGTGCAGAGAAAACCACAGTTGGCTTCCTGCATGGACTCAAAAGTTGTCCACTATACTGTGATTTCTCTTGGCTCTACCTCTTCTGCAGCAGCTCCATTACAGACAACCAATCTCATCCGGGAGCGAGATAGCTTTGAAGCAGCTGCTCTTATATCCACACGGCCACAGGACTGTGTGGTTCAAGAGGGTTCAAGACTGGTTCCAGTAAAAGCCTGGAGATTCATTTTATTGGACTGGCTTGGATTACATGACCCCTCTGGACCAATCCCTGTGGCCAGGTGATGGAATGCTCTTGATTGGCTTAACTCTGGTCACGCACCCTACTCAGGAAGCCAGGGAATGAAATCACGGTTCAAAGTAGGAAAGCACTAATTCACCCAACACCGAAACAAAATCAGAATAATGGGTAATGGGTGAGGGGCAAAACAAACCCATCCACCACTGTTATCATTTGCAGCTTATTGTTGATGGAACTGGGTTTAAGAGATTGGAAATGGTTTGCTCAAAGTCAAGCAGATAGTGAGGTAGCCAGAATTTGAGCCTGCATTGTCTAACTCCACAAGCCATAAACTTATTTACTACACGATAGTGCTTCCCATGATGAGAGTATTTTCATTCATCTTGGGACAAAATAGAATCATACGCCTCTGGTAATGGGTTTGTAGTGTCTGGCAGCTGGCACTCGATTGACTGCGGCAGGGCATGCCTGAGACATGCACACCCAGGCTCTCCAGCCTTGTGGGGGCGGCCGTGCAGGTACCAGAAGGCCTGGATTATCCTGCATCAAGACAGGCTGCCAAGAGCAACTCTGAGCCCAGCAAATGGCCAGTGCACATTGGTGGAAAGAGAGACACTCCAAACACAGTTGGGATAAAAACTATTTATTTGTGGCATCTCATGGTGCATAGCTATTGATTCCTCACAATATCTGGGGAAGCAGGTAGTTGTTGCCCTGAATTAACAGGGAGGGAATGGAAGCACAGAGAGGTGAAGCTCCTTGGCCAAGGTCACACAGCCATTTTAGTGGACCAGGGCTTAGGTGGAGCCAGCTCTTAATTAGACGCTATAATGCTTGTATCAGGAATTGTCTGCAGCCAAGAGGGACCTGCAGAGATCAGAACTGCAGAAAGTGAAAGTGCAAGGGGGGGGGGGGATTGAGCCCAGTGATGCCGTGCCTGCCTTACAAGTGCAAGGTCCTGAGTTCGATCCCTGGTATGGAAAAAGAAAGAAAGGAAGGGAGGAGAAGGGGAAGGGGAAGGGGGAAAGAAAGAAAAAGAAAGAAAGAAAGAAAGAAAGAAAGAAAGAAAGAAAGAAAGAAAGAAAGAAAGAAAGAAAGAAAGAAAGAAAGAAAAG